AAATACTGCTGGATGAGCTCCAGGGAGAGTTCCTCGCTTCTAAGGATAGAATTTGGCCCCACAACCCGCACAGAAATCTGAAGGGAGCTGTGTGTAAAACTGTGTTAAAGCAGGGATCAGGAACAGCTCCCACTAATTGGGTTTTAATGTAGCTCACACCCAGTGTAAGCCAGCCTGAACGTTCAAGGTGTTAAAAGGAAACGTTTTGGTCCATTTTTCACTGAAGTGGTGCAGAAAGACAGCAAGTTTCTACATTATAGTCGTGTTTCTGTGTTGTTATATCACGTTTTGCAAACATGCATGCACAGGCAATACATAAAATCTTAATAAAAGTGCCTGATATTTGATGGAATCCCAGCCTGGTTTGGGCTGGAAGGGACTTCAAAGCCCACCCATTGCCACCCCTGCCATGGGTTGACACCTTCCACTGTCCCAGGCTGCTCCAAACCTGTCCTACCTTGTTTGGATACTTCCAGGGACGGGGCAGCCTCGTAAAAGAGCAAAACATTTGAATTAAACAATTATCTCTTCACTTATCACTTGCTAGGTCAGTCTGTGGTAGGGTGACAGGTTTAACATGGCTTGAATGATAAAGAAGCCTGAAAATTGCTAAAAATCTGCTCTCTTGCTTGGATGGATGGTTTATACCATTTATTGTCAGGACAAGTTCTGCAGTGTGAGTGTGAACCTGTTCTTCCCAGGTCCAAGAGCCAGCTGGAGTTTTGTGGCTCAGGTGGGAGCTGCAGTGGGAACTGCTGTTTTTTAGGAAGATTTGGGTATTTTTCGACTGTTGTGCTTGAAAGTTTTGGGGTTTTGTTTTGTTTTTTTGGGTTTTTTGGGTTTTTTTGGGGTTTTTGGGTTTTTTTTTTGCTAATAGAAATAACATTGAGAACCAATGAGTGAAAAAAAACCACCAAGAAAAGTTGTCCGTGTAGTACCCCAGGCAGGCTGTGAAAAAGCTGCCGAGGAGGAGCAAGTGTTTATAACTGTCTTTGCATTTGCAAAACTCTGGGGGAAAAACAAACAAACAAAAAGAAAAGCAGGGAAAAAAAAAAACCACAAAAATAAACCAGCACGACAAACAAAAACTAACATTCCCAGCAATCAGGGTTGAGGGGAAGGAAAAATCAGTCTGTCTTTAATTCCTCTTAATCAAAGAGAATAAAAAGGGTGGGAAATCAGGCTGTGGGGTTTTTGGAAGGTGAGATGCAGGGGGACAGGAAGGGACTGGCACTGGTCCCTCTGCTCTTCCCTCATCCATCCCGAGTCCTGAGGGACTGAGCCCCTCACCACCCCCAAAAATCCTTGTTAGAAATTAGATAAAACATATATCTATATGGTTAAATAATATATAATAGATACTATTTAGTGTAAGCTGTCCCTGCTTATGGCAAGGGGGTGGAATAAAGTGATTTTTAAGGTCCCTTCCAACCTAGACCATTCCATAATTCCATGATTATTAGTTAGAAGTGTATGATTTTCCTTCTTTGGACTAATTCCCACCTTCAGTTCCGCTGTTAAAAGTTACAATACAGCTGGTGTTCAAGTCAGATTGATTTTCTCTCCATTATCCCCATGGATTTAACATGTTTGTGTGGAGAATTAAGGCCCAGTGGGCTGGTAGGAGGGACCTCTGAGCATTTAGGCATTAAAACAGGTTCAGGGTAATTTACCTGAAAATATTCTTCCCTGTGAGGGTGGGGAGGGGAGGGGATGGTGTCGAGTTTTATCTTCTTTTTTTCTTCAGAGAGGTCCCATTTCTAATTGGCGTCCTCCTCACACAGGATCACCACTAATGTCGATTCTTCATTTCTTTTGCTTCTGCCAAGGTCGGGATTAAATGTGTGAGAGGGTATTTCTTGTTGGGACTCAGATGTTTATCAGTTCTTGTCTCTGCCACAGTCTTACAAACCCTGAGTTCTGCAGCACTTCACTCCAACAAACTAAAAATGGAGCCCCATCTCTCTCTATGAGGCCTTTTAAGGATAAACTGTCCAATTCAGAAATGGCACCTCAATTATTTTCACTTTTAACCCAAAAATCAACCACCCGTGCCTGCAATGTGGACTTTTTATCCAATTACACAAAACCACCCAAACCCATGGAGAAGAAGGTGGAGAAGAAGGTGGAGAAGGTGGAGAAGAAGGTGGAGAAGGTGAAGAAGAAGGTGGAGAAGAAGGTGGAGATGAAGGTGAAGAAGATGGAGAAGAAGGTGGAGAAGAAGGTGGAGAAGAAGGTGGAGAAGAAGGCAGAGAAGAAGGTGGAGAAGAAGGTGAAGATGAAGGTGAAGAAGATGGAGAAGAAGGTGGAGAAGAAGGTGGAGAAGAAGGTGGAGAAGAAGGAGCATCCGCCACCCTAAAACCTCATCTTGCTTTATATATATTGCTATATTCTAAACCCCTAAACTCTACGTTTTCCACCCTGTGATATTACACACTTCTACCCAAACTCCACCCCCACACTCCCAGTTCTACCATTCCATTTTGGAAGCTGCTCCACGGCCCCAGGTCAATGCAGAGTTCTCCTGGGGTCAGTGCCTGCCAGCACAGAAAGTCTGGAACTCTCAGCAGCCAGGGCTCCAGCAGGATGAAATTCCCAGGCCAGGCTGGGATGGTGGAAGGTGTCCCTGGTGGTCAGGGGCTCTCCTGGTCACCTGGAGGGTTTTTTTGCTGGCCCCACGTGCAGTGGGGGCACAGGAAGGACAAAATCTTGTGATGCTCTTGCTGATCAGCCTCCCCAGGACATGGAGTTCTCGTGGAGCCAGAGAATTCCTGCGTGTTTGTTTCCATGTGGGGATTCCACAGCACTTTATATTGATATTTACAGTGTAAAACGTTGGCACACCGTGAAAACTGGGCAAAGTTCAGCCACCTCATCTGGGCAGGTTGTGCTCACAGGCACTCAACTGCAGACGGTTCAATAACAGGATTTGGCACTGCCTCTTCGAGCTGCTTAAACTAATTAATGCTTTTGCTCCCTGCAGGATGAAACTGAGTTTTCAGATATATTTCCAAAATGATGTGCCTGATTGCTAAATATTTTGTTCTTTTGAACTCTTCACTTCACGAGTGTTTTATGTGGGAGCAGAGGCGTGGATTTCTCCCATGAAAAATGGAGAATCTGTGCCCCTGTGTGTGAGAGGAGGATCATCTGTGTCCCTGTGCCAGCCTGTCCTCGGGAATTTGGGCATCCCTTGGGGCTGTGCTGGTGCTGGGGGGCTCTGAAGCTCTCCCTCTCCCAGCTGCTCTCTGTCCAGGTGCATTTTGCTCCATTTTCTCCCTGGTTCCAACAGGTTCCCAAAAAGTTTCAGGTGCATCCCACCCCAACCTGCCAAAACTGAGGGTAAAAAAGGAATTTTCTGGACTGGGTGTTGAGCATTTAAAAGGTGCCATGGGGCAGTGGTTCCCCAAGACCCCTGAGCAGGGGGGTTGTAGCTAATCCTGCCAGATTAAAAAGGTTAAGAAAATAATAAGGACCAGCTTGATTTGAAATAAACCTTTCTGAAGGAATCACAGTAAACAAAATCTGTTTGCCTAAGGAAACCCTCGTAGCAATCAGCCAGTAACGCAACTGCTTGTGCTAATGAACCCAAAGCTGTTAATGTGGTTTCTTCAGTTAAATTGATTCATGAATTTTGAAGAGAACATTATCTAATGAATTTTCTTTGAATAGAAAGCAATTAAAAGGACAAATCAGTCTGATTAACCCCAAAGTCACCCTACTGCCACAAATGGTGTACAGTTTGAAATTATATCATAAAAAACTAGAGCAGATTTGCTATCTCTTTGCCCTCTACTAATCCATGTAAATTAATGAACAACAAAGTTAATTTCTTTGATGACCCTTTTCTCGTATCACCTGGATTATGCTGATGTTTAATTTGCTTAATGTTATAATAAAGACTAAACAGATTTTTTCAATGAAGTGATTATCATTCCCTTCAGTTAAGAAGAGATTTTTATTATTTAACACACACATAACGCTGTATGGGTTTGCTTTAAGAACAAAATCACTTTTCTTTACCTTCTTATGGAAGGTAATCAATGTCTTTTTTGACAACTAAAGAAAGAAAACGTTTTTAATCTGTTTGTTTCTTTGCCAGAGTGGGAGGTTGAGGCTCTCAGCTGGGGGAAGGAGTCTCTTCTCCATTTTTTTCCTCTTTTTTTCTCCCTTTTGCAGTCACCAGCTCACTTCTCTCAGTAAGTTATCCAAGAGTTGGCTCTTCAGAGGTTTTCCAAGTGCCTTGGAGGAGCAAGAGGTGTTCAACCCACTCAAATCCAAGCAGGACTCTTCCTTCCTTGAAACAATCCTGGGCTGGGTAGCACCCTGAGATGCCAAATAAAGCCTCTCCTAATGTATTTGCTTATTCATTATTTCAGCAATTGGAACACTTAAAGCAATTTGCGGTCGAATTAAAATTAAAATAACAGCCAATACATTATATTTTTTTTCCCCCTGTATCATTAAGGACGTGCAGGACATTCAAGGTCACAGCTGGTCCTTACACTTGGCAGTGCTGAGCAGTAGCTCGGGGGTCCCCACTATAAAACACAGGCAGGCAGAATAATTTGGAGTTTGCTGGCTCTAGGGCGTCTCTGCCACGTCCCAGCTGAAGTTGGAAATTAGCTGGAGATGCCAGGCCTTTGTCAGATAGGTACAGCCACTTATTCCATCCCTTTTAATTTGACTCTATGCTAATTTATACTCCACCAATTTAATGGGAAAAGCCACATTGTGCAAGCTAACAGGATAATTGTACTCGAAGCAAATTAAAAACATAGGAAAATCAAAGCCTTAAATCCTTTTTTTGTAGTGATCAGTTACTCCAAGCGCTCTCTCCAATAATCATGTATTTAAATGTAGTCATACAGGGCACCAGAACAGGACAGTGCACCATTTGAATTACAAAACTGCCATTGAATCTTGCTTTACGTTGGGTTTTTTGACTGTTCCACCCTAATTTCTCCATCCAAGCCATGCTCTCTCCCTCTGCCTTGCAGATTCCTTCACCAGGCAGGTGCTGTGGACCCTGCTGAAGGATGTCAGGTTTGGGGAGGCTGTTTCCTACAAGCAGCTGGCAGATCTTGCTGGCAACAGCCGGGCAGCCCGAGCCGTGGGGGGAGCCATGAGGAGCAACCCGGTGAGTCCACGGCACCTTCCAGCCCTGAGCTGCTGGGGGATGCTGGGTTTAGAGAGCTCTGCAGCCTGCATGTCATCAGGTTAAATTTATCTGCTCTGAAAACTGGTCTGCCATGAGGAGTAAGGTCAGTAAGTGTTTTTAATCAGCAATAATGCACAGCCTGCTTTAGTGTGATTGATGCCCTACTGTTTATGGGGTTGGGTTGGGGGAAAGACACTTCTGTTACTCACCAGCCTCTGCACAGTTTGTTGGTCTCAAACTTCCTTACGTATTTTTAGGTTGAGGAAGTCTTTTATCTTCCACATGGACTTAAGTTGGCAGATTATGGGTGCTTTTGGTTGTGTTAAAAACATCCAAAAGCCATCTCTGGGATAAATACAATTCTGAAAACAAGGCCAGCAGCACCCTGGGACAGTGGAAGGTGTCCCTGCCCATGGCAGGGGTGGAATGGGATGAGTTTAAGGTCCCTTCCAACCCATACCAGTCTGGGATTCTGGAGGTGAGTTGCCTGAATTTGAACCAGATGGGGAGAGCAGCACTCTAGGATAGGCATGTGGATTTGGGGAAAAAATGTTTTTATGCTGAGTGATCTGTGTGTGTTCTCCCTGTTCTTTGTCTGGGTTTAGCTTTTGGGTGGTTTATGCACCTGAGTCACCTGGGCTGCTGTGTGAAGCTGCTGTGGTGCTCAGGGGTGCTGTGTGGGTTGGCATCAGCCCCATCCTGGAGGGTCTGGGGGCTCAGCTGGATGTGCTTGCGCTGTTTGAGGAGCAGTTCCATCCCTAAACCCACCCAGCCCAAGCACCCCAGAACAATTCAGCTTGGAAGGGACCTTAAAGCCCATCTCGTTCCACAGTTCCCCAGGGGCAGCACCCAGCCAGGGACACCCACACAGCTCCATGTGGGGCTAAGCTTTGAGCCCACCCTGTCACTCGCAGCATCCCTCCCTCAGCGGTCCCTGTGAAGCTGCTCCTCTCAGCAGTGTTTTGTCAGTACCCCGCATTGTACTTGACAATACAAACTATTCTAATATGATGGAATGCTTTCCAATATAATCTGGTGTACATTAAGATAAGGCAATCCAATGCAAACCTACAGGAAACAGTTCTCAAAGAATAACAATCCAGTGTTGTGCAAAAGGAGATGTAATTGCCATCGCCTAGAAATGTACCCAGCTTTGCCCTCAGGCTGCAGTGGAGCAGCAGCATCCAAAGTAGCAGTAACAGCAGGTTGTGGTGTGAAAATTCCTGCTTTTTCCCCTGTGAGGAAGGATGAAAATAGTTCTGAAAATATACAGCAAAGCTCCTGCAATTTTTTTAAATGGGGTCCTAGTTATTATTGCCATTTCCCAGCCCATACTGTGGCTGCAGTGGTTTCTGTCCCCAGCAGAAATTTTTTTAAGCTATGGTTATAGATAATAATGTATAGCTGTAGGGAAAAAGAGCTGTATTAATATAATACCACCTCAATATTTCATCATAGAAAACTGATGATTAAAAAAAAAAAAAATCAGCGCTGTAATGAGAGTTCTGCCCATCTCAAACCACAATTTTGCCACTGCTCATCTCCTGGAGGTAATCTGAAATTCCATCCATATTCCACATGCAAAAACACACACACACACACACACACACATCATCCTTTTGCACCTGAGTGTGAGCAACTGTTCCCTGCTGCTGGAATTTCCCCCAGAAATGTCTCCGTGGTCCTTCGCCTGTGAGCCATCGTGTGCAGGCTGGCTGTGTGCAATACACACGGATTTTATGCATGAGATGAAAGATAAAGATAAAATGTGGCACTGCAAAAAAACCCCTCACCTTTGTTATTTCTGTGTGTAAAGCCGTCAACTCTTGCGAAAACAGATTTTCTGACCCAATTTGCAACTCCACATTGCAGCCTCGTAGAAATCTGATTAAAGGAAATGCTGAGAGGACCAGTGTGAAAAAACACAGGAGGTCAGAGATTGCTTGTAAGGGTTTAAACCCCAAACACATCCCTGGAAGTTCTCAAGGCTTAGATGGGGCTAGGAGCAACCTGGTGTGGTGGAGGATAATTTGTGATAAACCTCATTTAGTGAGGATGGTAGTATGAGGAAATACTTTGAAATAACCCTGAGCTGGGCATCACATTGTCCTTCAAACACTTGGATAAAATCACAAACTCACCTTTCTCCACCAGATACCTGCATGTTTCTCCCTCCTATGAGTCAAGGCTTGGTCTTCAATTTGGGTAGAGCTCATTCCACAGATGGGATGCTTCACAGAATTCCTGGGCTGACCTGCAGCTTCCTGAGAAGGTGGAAGAGGTGGCAGCAGCAGCTGCCTCAGTTCATGCCCAGGAGAGGTGGGGATGGCTCACCTTTCACAGGAGAGACTTCCCAGAGTTTGCTGTGGTTCACACAGCTTGCAAGGGTCCTCCAAGGGAACCCATAAAGTTCAATTAAAAATCTCATTAGACTGGTAGAGGAGGATCAAAAAGAAATCACAGAAGCTCGTGGGAGATGGAGAATGTTGGGCTGATTAGTCCAAGGCCATCCTAAATGAGTGTTCTGTGCCTTAAATAAGACATCTGCACGGGTCTGATCACAGCACCAGAGCTGCCTGTGCTGGGTTTGAGCCCCTCTCAGCTGTGCTGGTCCTTGGGCTCACCCCAGCCAGGGGCTCAGCCTGATCCTGGTACCAGTCTGTCCTAAATCGAGGATATTGCACCAACCCATCCTGAATCACAGACTGAGCATTGAGCTAAATCATGGATATTCAGCCAAAATGTTTGAGCTAAATCATGGATATTCAACCAAAATGTTTGGCTAAATCATGGATATTCAACCAAAATGTTTGGCTAAATCATGGATAGTCAACCAAAATGTTTGAGCTAAATCATGGATATTCAGCTAAAATTTTTGAGCTAATTCATGGATATTCAGCCAAAATGTTTGAGCTAAATCATGGATATTCAATCAAAATGTTTGAGCTAAATCATGGATATTCAACCAAAATGTTTGAGCTAATTCATGGATATTCAACCAAGATGTTTGAGCTAAATCATGGATATTCCACCAAAATGTTTGAGCTAATTCATGGATATTCAGCCAAAATGTTTGAGCTAAATCATGGATATTCAACCAAAATGTTTGAGCTAATTCATGGATATTCAGCCAAAATGTTTAGCTAAATCATGGATATTCAACCAAAATGTTTGAGCTAATTTATGGATATTCAGCCAAAATGTTTGGGCTAAATCTTGGATATTGAACAAAAATGTTTGAGTTAAATCACAGATATTCAACCAAAATGTTTTGAACACTGGGGGAGCAGTTGTGTGTTGTGAGAAAATTGTGATGGGTGGAGCTGAAACACATCAAGGTACCACTGAATCAGGGAATGTCCTGAGCTGGAAAGGACTCAGGATCATCCATTCCAGCCCTGGCCCTGCACAGACACCCCAAAATCCCACCTGGGCATCCCCTGGAGCGCTGCCCAAAGGCTCCTGGAGCTCTGGCAGGCTTGGGACCATGCCCATTCCCTGGAGAGCCTGGGCAGTGCCAGAACCCTCTGGGCATGAACCTTTTCCTACTATTTTCATTCCCAATACCTTTGCTTCCTTTGGTGGTCAGTGATAAGCTGAGACCCACGCTGGGTCACATCACAGGATTTGTTTCTGCTGGGGAAGAGGTGCAGAGAAAAAAGGTGGAAAATCCCTGCCAGCCCAAGGCAGTCTGGGATCCTGTGACATGAGCAAGGCACATGTTTTTTGCCGAGGGTGTCTCAGTGTGATCCCTCAGCTGTTCCATCATTCAGCAGCTCTCCAGCCACACCATGGGACAGTTCCCTCCAACTGAGCACGGGGAACAACCAGGATTTCCTAAAAGCAGCTCAGAGTGATCCATCCTGTGGGCAGGGAGTTTTTTTTCCCCTCAACAAACACATTCTGGAGGAGTTGGTTTATTCACAGATGGCCAGGAGCGTTAATGACCGGCCCAGCCTTGTTCTGCCACTCACCCGGATGGCTGTTGATAAAGATTTAGCATCATGTTCCGAGTGTCAGGGCTGTCAGTAGTGCTGAACCATTTGACCAGAAGAAAAAACGCACAGGGAGCTATTGATTACAGCTTCTCAGTGTCACTTGTTCACCAGGATTTAGGTATTGATGAGGCTGCGAGTGAAAACAAGCTCTTTCCCTTGTGGGCCTCTACCCAGAAGAACAAAAGCGAAGTTGGAGAAAATATTCATCTGGTGCCCGAATCAGAGGGACTCTGGCATCGATCCGAGGGCTCCTTCATATTATTTTTTTGTTGGAGACAAATCTCTGGGTTTGGAAGTTTTATAGCGTTTGAGGTAGGGGCTGTGTGTGTGATGGATTCGTGGAGGAGAGGAATTAGATTTCACAGCATGAAGATTTCAGCGGTGCTATAATATTATGAGCTGCTTGGTTATTGATAAAAATTACATTAAATGTAGCTGAGGCATTAAAGCTCCAGACTAGGGTAGTTCTCCCTCTAAAATGTCCTTAGGGCCCTAATAAATTTTAGCAGGTTTAATTATTTTAGTAGGCTGAACGTTGTCACCACAATTAAGCCAAACTGAAGCAATATTCAATATTTTTAAATTACAGCTGGTATGGTCTTTGTACCACTTCTGCATCCAGGGCTGTGGAGGGTGACGGATGGGTGCTTGTGTTGGGACAATCTCAGCATGGAATTCTTTGTTTTGGCCATGGAAAAAGTGGCATTAATTTCATACCTCCTCTGTCTGCTTGGTGGTGACAGCTCAGCCACATTTCCCTGTGCTGTGAACAGGTCCTGCACCCACCCAGGGATCATCCAAGACCCCACATCTGTAAATAAAGTCCTTTTTTTTTCTTTTTCTCCACCAAGATTTATAGCCCTGCCACCAAAATCTGCTGCTTTGCTGTGTGTATTTTTAAAGAATTGCAAATGAACCTCAGAGATGTTTTACAGTGTATTATTATGGCTTTGTCACTCAAGCCAAGCCTCCTGCAGTAACTGCGGGGAGTGTAAAGGCAGAGAAACCCCAAAGAAACCCCAAACCAGAAAAACACTTGCAAAAAAAAAACCCAATTTCTTTGAAGAAGTCATAAACGTACTGTGGGATGTCCTGGCATGGAGCAAAGCTTTTATTGGTGCTCACTGCAGATGTCACAGATGGATTAATCACTTGTGGCATTGCCACCTCCAAATAATGCAGATATTGGAGGCGTTTTTTTATTTAAACCCTGATCAACAATAAGCACCTGTGTGTATCCTCATTTAATGTGGGCTGAGATTAAGATTTTAAATTTCAGGCATTGAAATTACTTAAGCAAACTGAAAGAACACCCCCAAAAAAACCCTTCTCAATTTATGGTCTGGGACGTAGCTGTTCAGCTACTTTGGGGTTTGTGTATCCCAGGCTCAAATACACCACAACTGTATGATTAAATGGGATTAAAATAAGTGAGGGTAAAGTGTGCCATTTGTCTGTGTGTCTACACAGAAATAAATTGCAATTTTTGACTTGAGATACCCAGGTTTGTGAGAACTGCCCTTTTGGGTGAGTGATTGTTGTCCCAGCTCCACCATTGCAATGCCATTACTATGCAGTTACCAAAACACACCCGTGATTATAGATGATGTATTGCAGTTTTTATGGTGTGTACTTCAGCTATGATAATCACCTGTAATAAAAAATAAAAAAAAACCCCATGTTTATGCTCTCCTCTGCATTATCAGTCCATTATGTAACTCCTGGCATTGATTTTTGCAGAATCTGTGTGGTGTGGTTATAAATGATAGGGAGTAGAAGGCAGAGAGTGGAAAAAAAAGAGTTCTTAAAGTTGGTTAGGTCGGAATCAAACTTCTCCTGTTGGAGGTTTTAAAAATTCACGACCCATTTTGGATTGGCTTGCTGCTAAATAATAAATAGTGCCTTGGTCTTCCAGAGAGTTTCTGCAAGGTGCACATGGAGGTGCTACAGCAGGAAGAGGATCTGCTGGGGAGCCCAGGCTCTGGGATCCCTTCTCAATAATCTATTTTTTCCCATTAATCTTCTACTCCTGGAAGGATCATGGTGTCCCAGAATAGGTTGAGTGGGAAGGAACCTTAAAATTTATCCCATCCCACCCCTGCCATGCCAGGGACACCTCCCACTGTCCCAGCTGCTCCAGCCCCAGTGTCCAGCCTGGCCTTGGGCACTGCCAGGGATCCAGGGGTGCCACAGCTGCTCTGGGCACCTGTGCCAGGGCCTGCCAAGGAGCAAATCCATCCCAGTGTCCAATTTAAACAGTTCTTCATGTGCACTTTGGGTCTGTGAGGCTTCACTCCCACCCTGGGCACGGAGGGCAGCAGGACCTGGTGCTGCAGGGAAGATTTTATATATGGGATTTAATATCCCAGGTTTATCCTTTTAAAGACTTTACATCATTTTTATGTATTAAAATTCCTGTCCATGCCTGTTTTTTCCTGAGAAGCGGGGTGGTCTCCAGGGATGTTGATGGGCTCTGTCTGTGCTGTGCCAGCGGCGTGGCTGCCCCGTGTCCCTGCACTCCCAGTGCCACCCTGCTGCTGGCTTTTAGAGCTCTGCATTCCCAGATCCATGCAATCACAGCATCCTTCAGGCTGGGAAGGACCAAACCCATCCAGCCCAGCCTGTGGCACATCCCCACCGGGGCACGGAGAGCCACGTCCCGCTGTTCCCAACTCCCCTCGGCCTCACCCTTCGCTCCTCCCGGGTTTTGGGGTGTTTTGCAGATCCCCATCCTCATCCCGTGCCACAGGGTGATCTGCAGCAGCGGGGCCAGCGGGAACTACGGCGGGGGCCAGCAGATGAAGGAGTGGCTGCTGTCCCACGAGAAGCTGCAGAAGGAGAAGTTGGCGCGTCCGGGCGGCCGCTGAGCAGCCACAGCGCACAGCCACGGCTCCTTGGCTCGTAACGAGCTCTCAGAGCACCCAGCAGAACTCAGGGAAATGGTAAATATTTGAGTGACACGTAAATATAATGCAACATCCAAAGTGAAATGTGTGGTGGCACCACTATATTAAAGAAGCGGGATGCGTCCTGGGGGAGGCAGCTCGGCTGCCCTTTCTTGTTTTTACATTTTACAGCAGAATGACTACAGCGATCCGGGCCTGTTGTGCATGGATTTTGTTCCCATCTCCAGCCCTGTTTTGTTCTATTTTTAATGTCCATTAAAGCAGGGATAAGGGAGTGGGAGGGACGTGGCAAATGTGAGGTGGAAGCTTCCCCCTGAGGAGGATTCTGGCTCGCGGCGAGTGGCCCAGCCTGGCACGTCCCTGCCCAGCTCCCCCTCCCCACTTTGGGGCAGAAAATGGTGTTTTACCTGCCCAGGGGTTCAGGGAGCACAGTGGGATCTGTGCAAAAGCAGACAGCTGTTGAATTCCTTACTCCTGCCTTTTCTTTTTGGATGGGGACATGGGAATTTTTTTTTTTTTTTTTTTTGCGTAGAGGAGGGGAAGTGGTGTTGCCGACAAATTGTATATTTTGGATAAGCAGTTTGATTAGCCAAACTTGGCAAAATACTGAAAAGCTCAGCATAGTTGCTTCTTTATCAGCAGCACATTCCTTTATCACTTGAGTTTTCCTTCAGATTTCCATGTTTCTCTGTTATCCAAAGCTTTATTTCCTGTAGCCTCTCCATTGGAAGGATTCAAGAGACATTAAAGTTAAATTTTGAGGTGGTTTTAGCAGGGTTCTCTGCAAGTACGAGCCACCAGAAGCTGAAATTTCCAGTATGGGAATCGTAAATTGTAACGTGGAAATACTGATTTTTTTATGTGTTTTATCATATTTTCATGGATGTCTCTTTAGAAAGGCCATTGCTGCCCCCCAAAAATGATTGTGTGGCAATGCGTTAGTTAATCCAGGATTATTGATACCTCGGAATTACTTCAATAAAAAAACTGCTTTGCATGTGCAAGTGTCCTTGGGTCTGTTTATAAATAAAACACAGTGTGTGATATATGGGGAAAATAAACTATACCCCACTGTACAATATAAAGCTGTATTTTTATCAAGGGTTTCTCATGGCGATATAAACCACAGAATCAAAGCTCAAGTGGTTTGTACGTGTCACCAGAACCCCGAGATAAAAATACGGCCTTATAATATGTACAGTTTGGGTGTATTTTATTATTTTTTTATATCTCTAATACATGCTGCCACCAAAAGCAGGCAGCAGCAAATGTCAACTTTAACCTTTCTCACATTTGCATCCCTCAGTGGGGGTTTTTTTTCAGGTTTTGGGGCTTTTTCAGGGATGTGACTTTGTTTAGCTGGGGATGGGGAGTGCTGGGATTGGGGCAGGTGATGCCTTTCCCAAGAAAACAGCCAACTTTGGGAGGGAAATCCGGTTCTGGGTGGGCAGGGACAGGCAGGGATGGACGAGGGGATGGGCAGGGACACGCACAGGGGACAGGACAGGGCAGGGATAGGACAGGGACTAGAAGGGACAGACAGCAAAAGGGACAGAGACAGTCAGGGATGGACAGGAGAGGTGCAGGTGGACAGGGACAGGGACAGGGACAGGGACAGGGACAGGGACAGGGACAGGGACAGTCAGGGATGGAGAGGGACAAGTGGAGTTGGACAGGGACAGCGACAAACAGAGACAGTCAGGAACAGATCTAAGGTCAAGGACAGGGACAGGGAGGGATGGACAAGGGGACAGGGACAGGGACAGTCTAGGACAGGGCTGAGGACAGGGACAGGGAAAGGGATAAGGACAGGAACAGGGACAGGGACAGGGACAGTCAGGGAGAGGGACAATCAGGGACAGGCACAGACAGGGACAATCAGGAACAGGGACAGGGACAGTCAGGAACACAGCTAAGGATGGGGACAGGGACAGGGACAAGGACAGGGACAATCAGGGACAGGGACAGGGACAGTCAGGGACAGTGCTAAGGACAGGGCTAAGGACAGGAACAGTCAGGGACAGGGCTAAGGATGGGGACAGGGACAAGGACAGGGACAGACAGGGAGAAGAACAGGGATGGACAGGGACAGAGCCAGGGACAGGGATAGACAGGGAAAAGGACAGGGGAAGGGACAGGGACAATCAGGGACAGGGACAGGGACAGGGACAGAGGCAGGCACACAAGGACAGGGACAGGGACAGGCACACAAGGACAGGGACAGGGACAGGGACAATCAGGGACAGGGACACAAGGACAGGGACAGGGACAGGGACACAGGGACAGGGACACAGGGACAGGGACAGGGACAGGAACACAGGGACAGGGACAGGGACAATCAGGGACAGGGACAGGCACACAAAGACAGGGACAAGGACAGGGACAGGGACAGGGACAGGGACAGGGACAGGCACACAAAGACAGGGACAAGGACAGGGACAGGGACAAGGACAGGGACAGGGACAGGGACAGGGACAGGGACAGGGACAGGCACACAAGGACAGGGACAGGGACAGGGACAATCAGGGACAGGGACAGGGACAGGAACACAGGGACAGGGACAGGGACAGGGACAGGGACAGGCACACAGGGACAGGGACAAGGACAGGGACAGGAACAATCAGGGACAGGCACACAAGGACAGGGACAATCAGGGACAGGGACAGGGACAGGGACAGGCACACAGGGACAGGGATAAGGACAGGGACAGGGACAATCAGGGACAGGGACAGGGACAGGGACAGGCACACAGGGACAGGGACAGGGAAAGGGACAGGGACAGGGACAGGTTCCCGCTGCAGTTCCGGCGCTGCCCGACAGAGGGCGCGCGGCGGGGCCGGGTCCCCCTGGGTTTGGGGGCACTGGGGGGGCTCTGAACAGAAACAGCCCCGACCGCCCCAAAATACAGCTGGAATCAGTGAAACAGGGGTATCTGCGCCTGCACATGCATACATATGTGTACATGGATGCATACATACTCATATATATACTTATATACATGTATACATGTGTACATGTATACATATATACATATATATACATATATATATACACATATATATACATATATATATATAAGACAAATTACAGAGATATATAAATTATATTTTTTACATAAATAAATTAGTAATAAATAAAATAACGCAGCACCAAGGAGGTGCAGGTTTGGGGGTTGGGTTGGATTTGGGTCACTCTGCCCCCACCATGCCCATCCCACGGCTGGGGTTGAGGACAGTGTCTGGAGCTGATGGAAGCACCCCACACCCTCTGTACATGACAAACCAGCCCCTGCCCCTGGCAGGCACCAGCGATGTGCTTTTTTTTCCTGGGAATTGGCTTCTCCTGCCCTGCCAGCGCCCCCATCCAGCCTGGCCATGCCCTTGGCACGTCCTGACCTGCAGCATCCCAGACCAGCACGCTGCTCCAGCCCTTCCCAGGGCCAGGGATCATCACAGATTCAAAACTAATATTTGTTTTGGCAGAATTACATTGAGAATGAAATAGATGACCAGGGAAGAAGCTGAATTTTGCAGCAGGTTCTTAATTTTTTTTCCCCCCTTACAAACAGGCTCTGCAGCCAGTCCAAGGCAAGTGGGAATATTTTTGAAGGACTCTCTTGTATTTCCTGCAGAACTGCAGCAGAACTGCAGCCACACTGGTTGTACTGTTCGATGAAAAATGCAGATTCCACCCCATGTATCAATCCCAAATGGAAAAGGGCCCCAGGCCTCAGGATTGTTACAGATCACTTCCATGCACGCCGGGTTTGCGGCGTAATGAGCTCAGACTGGAGGCATCTCAAACAGAAAAACGATTCATTGGCGTGGTGGGGACCTTTCTCGATATGTGCCCAAATTTCCTGGCCTTTGGAATTAGAGGAATTAGTCATCTGATGGAGACAAGAAAGATCTGGCCCTTCAAAGTTTCCATTTCATTTGTTTTAAGCAGTTTTCAAGCATCGGGAGCTTTTCTTAAGTGATAATTGATATTTTCTTTATCAGTGGAATTGCTGTTGTTGGTGGGGCACTTTCCAAATTATGTTAAGTTATAAATGAGTGGTGATTTTAAACTATTGGTTTTTTTAAACATCTATTATTGCTATTATTTTTATTATTATCATCATTGCTGTTATGATCTTTAAGATCCCTTTCACCCCAAACCATTCTATGCCACTCTGATTATGTCTTCTGGAAAAATCACAAATTGCTACTTCTAATCATTTTTCCTCCTATTTTAAATTTATATTGTCCATAAATATTGTGTTGCACGCAGCTCCAAGAGACTTGCTGTTAACATGGTTATTTATTGGGAAAGGTGGTGTTGCAAAGCTGCTTCCTTAAAAAAAAAATGCAAAAATTAGTAAACCTTTAGAACATTCCTTAAAAACTTACAGCACAGTATCCCACGGGGAATCCTGGAAGACTTGGGGACTATTCCAAGAATAATTCCCAATAAGAGCCTTACAGGAGTGCAAAAACCCTCGCAGAATTGTGTTTACATGTTGAATTATGTTCATTTTTATACCCTCGGAGAAGCAGAGTGGAGCTGGGATTCCGAGGCTGGTGTGAGGGGCCGTGCCCTGCCCAAAAAACAAAGGAAAATCTCCCTGGCAGCCCTCACTGCCCATGCCAGGGGAGATTTGGGCTGTGCTGGTGCAGCCTGGCCAAGGCTCTTCAAAGAACGTGGGCAGGGTGTGAGAACCAAACCCACCCACGGCTCTGTGCCTGGCAGCAGGGACACGGCTCCTCTGCTCAGATTTCCTGCTTTAGTCTTCATTTTTATATATTTTTTTCTCTTTTTTCCCCGTTTTAATTTTTTTTCTCTTTACTATTTTTTTCTTTTTAGTTTTCTTTTTTTTTTCTTCATTTCCCCCTTTTTTTCTTCTCTTTTTTCTTCTCTTTTTTTTTCTCTTTTTTCTTCTCTTTTTTCTTCTCTTTTTTCTTCTCTTTTTTCTGTTTTTCCTTTTTTCTTTTTTTCTCTTTTCTCTTTTTCTCTCTTTACTTTTCTCTTTTTTCTTTTTGCTTTTTCTTTTTCCTTTTTTCCTCTTTTCTCTCTTTACTTTTCCTTTTTTCTTTCCTCTCTTTTTCTATTTCCCCTTTTTTTTTCTCATTTTTCTTCTTCTCTTTTTCTTATTTTTTCCTTATTTCTCTCTTTTTTTTCCTTTTTATTTTTTCCTTTTTCTTTTTTTCCTTTTTCTTTCTTCCCCTATTTTTTCTCTCTTTTTTTCTTTTTTTCTTCTCCTTTTACTTTTTTCCTCTTTTCTTCTCTTTCCCCCGCAGAAGCCTTCACAAAACCTTTACTCCCTGCCTCTCCTCATCTCCATGTGCTCGCTTTCTCCCACCCTCATTTCTCTCACGCATCATTTTTAGCCAGCCACGAATCCTGTCCCTTCCCCATTCTCCCAAACCCCTTTTCCTCTCCCTTCCCCACTCTCCCAAACCCCTTTTCCTCTCCCTTCCCCACTCTCCCAAACCCCTTTTCCTCTCCCACTTGTCCCTCCAGGGGGATGAAGGACGCGCATCCCCGGCCCCATCACTGCAGCCTGGAGGCTGAGGGAGGGAAGGCGCCGCATTTTTGCTCCTTCCCCAGCGGGGCGATGCAGGGATGGGGATGCAGGCTGCTCCCCAGCCTGACCCGGAGCAGCCCCGGCCCGTGTCGGGGAATTTGGGGCCGGGGAGGTGCCCAGCCCGGCCGGAGCCGGGGGTCTGCGCTCCATCACTGGCGGCCGGGATGCAGGAGCTGGACCAGGAGGTGCAAATTGACGTGAGCGGGATGCTGGCAGCACCTCGGGCTGATGAAAGGACATTGTTAAGGAGCCCTTAACGTTTCTCATTAATGGCTGGCGTGGGAGGGTGAGGGTTTTGCGCTGAAAAAAGCCAGAAGACACCAAAAAAAAAAAAAAAAAAAAAAAAAAATTCCACCTGGGCAGTAATTAAGATCGATCCCGTGCGTGGAGTTATTAATTTTTAAAACCTCTTTAAGTGCCTTATTTAGTTA